GAATGGCTCCAGAGTCAAGTGCAGGGAACACTGACTTACAGGAGCACCCTGGTGGGGCTCCATCCAAAGCAGGGAATTGAGAGAATGCAGCTCAGGAAGATGAGATGGACAAATGGTTTTGGGAGTCATTCACTTACACCTGAGGGTTGAAATCAGATCTGACAAGGGAGCAGAGGAAGGAAGGGGGATATGTGTTGGTTGGCCCTCCCCCTTTGAGAACTACTTAGAGGGAAATAAAGAGGAAGTTACAGTACAAGAAAGAGAGTTTTAGTATCTTGGAAATCAGAATCAGGAACATTAAAAAGGAGGAATGGGGAAGTGCTCAGTAGTGATTAATCTTTAGAAAGTCTGAGGATGGTGAGGATGGAGGTAAAAATGCTTTAGTTACTAATGAAGTAAAGGGAAGAAACGTGATGTTCATTCCCTGTAGCAGTCATGCCAGTGGGGAAGGCATCCAGTTTGGACAGGGCCACCAGCTTCCTGTAAAGGCAGAGAGGCACTGGGCCTGGAGCAGGGGTTTATATACTCTTGCTTTCTTCTACCTCGAGCCAAGAGGAGCCAGTGAGGCTTCTGCTGCCACTTCTGGACCTCCTGATCCTCAGACACTGCTCAGCACTGACATGACCCTGAATAATCCTGCGCAGTTCTTATTTATGCTCCTGTGCAGTTCTTATTTATGCTCTACAGGTACCGTTGCTCCAGGAGTCTAAGGAACTTGCCTTGAGGTTCTAAAGCCACTAAGTGATGAAGTTGGAATGGAACACAGGTTAGCCTTGTTCTCAGCCTGTGCCTTTCTATTACGCACCGGGACATCTGTCCTTGATGCCTCCAATTTCTTGGTCCAACCTTCATCCACTTTCAGGGATTAAGGGCCCATCAGATCTGTTCTGTTACAACAATACATTTAAAAAAATCTGAAATTGACAAAATATGGCATTTTGGAAAGAAAATTTGATTTGCAGTCCAAATACCTAAAGAACTCAAATATTGGGCTATATCATTTCTTATCTTTGTAACTTTGAGCAAGTTTTTTTTTTAACTTTGAAAATTTTAGGGACCTCAGTTTCTTGAGCTGCAAAATGAATGTGACAGTGATTTTCAATTGTCAAGTGAGATGCAAGTTTATAATGTGATTTCAGTGTGCATTTAAGTCAATGTGTTGCCTTCTGTAGAGTTCTTCACATTTGGAAAATTTTAAACTTATAATCCTTCCACTTAAATTTACTGAGCATTCATTCTGTGTCAGACCTAGAGAAACATAAAGTAATTCAGGAGAAAATCTCTTGTCCTTTTCAACAGTAAGGACTTGAAGGGATATATTTTGCTGGTAGGACAGAAAGACCATTCTGTGTTTCAAAAATAAGATAAAGGAAATGTTTTTCTTTGGAGCAGAAAAGAATTGCTGATAGGAAACAAAGAGTCAAAAATCTTTGATATGCAGCTATGGCCTCCAGAAGATTCAATCTATCACCTCTATGTCCATACGTAGCCTCATGTTTAGTATATTTAGTGAAGTGGAGGTTTGGGTTCAGCCTTAGACTCTTCATCAGAGTCACAGCCCAGCTTTGGCCAAATGACTTGTTCTCATTTTTCAGTCAGGGAAGAAAATATTCTTTATTCCAGAAAAGGAATATAGACTAATATAGATTAGTATAGTCTACTATAGACTCTAAACCACATGAGTTTAGGGAATGAAATGTACTGTAAAAAGAGTATTTCTGAACCTTGTACACACTGTCACAGTAATTTCAATCACTAGCATCATTCCTGAGAACCTTGAAAGAGAAGCTCAGTTATTTAAAATAAAACAACTACTAAGGTCTACTAATCTGACTATAAAAAGCAGGAACTGAAACATGTAAAATTCGATTAGACGTTGACCACCTTTATCCCTGCCTTTGCGGCTGTGCCTCTGTGTGTTACAGACACAATTTGCAGCTTCCACCTTTGTGGGCTGAAGAAAGCTTGGAAACTTAACATGATCCCACTTAGAGTACTCCCAGGATCCTGCGCTGATCTCTCTTGCTAGGATCATGACTTTTCAGAGGCTGAGTGTCCCTGGTCTGACATCAGCCCTACAGGAGGAAGCAGGAAATGCAGTGAAGCCATCCGAGAGAGAGATATTAAGAGAAAGCATCTTCAGTTTTCTAATGAGCTTTTAAAAAGGGATATGCACTTGGAAATTTTTGTTAGTTGAACATGTGCTAAAGTTCCCTACATGTTCATTGCAGTACTGTGTCAAGAGCAATAAAAATATGCAAGGTTCTTTTTTCCCCCCTATCAGATCATTTAATTTGTTCTCTGTTGTACCTTCCTAGAGCCGAAGGTTGTTTTGTCCCAGTGGTGGGTGGTAAATGAATACAGTCGAACAACATCAGAATGAACTAGAGGTAAAACTAGCCAGAGCCCTTAAATCCTGGATCAGAACCAGGCAATGCTAGGCAAGAAGCCTCAATTCCCAGCAGCTTCACGATCCAAAACATCTGTTTCTGTATTTGGAACAGTTCCACTTTTTTTTTTATTTGTAAAATTGTTCCCATCTTTGGAAACACTTTAAAAAATAAAGAAGTCCCCATTCTGTCTCCTCTTTCCACTCCCCAACACATGCATTTGTAATTACCTGGTTTAGTCTGTGTGTTTAATCAGTTTAAATTGAGAATGTTGCATACATCTGATTTCAATCTGAAGGAGCCATTGAGTATTGGGCAGTTACCACCCTTGTGTCTGCCAAAATGTGCCGCTGCCAAAAAAACGGATAGGACTCACACCAGGGTATTTCCTAAAGAAGCCACTTGACTCAGATTAGATGTTTAATTTCCTTAAAATATTGTTTTGGATTTGGGTCTCTGTTCTCTAATTGGGATTTTCTGATGTAATTTAGGAATATCGCTTATTTGCTGAGTTTGTTCCAGAACCCAGCTGGCAATCTTCTAAAAGTTAAACCTCAGGGAAATAAACTTCATTCAGAGCGCTGAAGTGTCCTATCTCACTGCTTGGAAGGGTGCATCGGGCCCACGTTTATTCACATCATTGTAGAACCATCATCCATGCAATGCAGTGGAATTAATTTGGGAGAAGAGGGCTTCTAGTTATGATAATGAATCCTCTGATAACAGATTTACAGCTTTTGAGATATTTACTTTAACTCAAGTAGAAAAAACTGACTGTGTTCTAAGTTCCAGTACTGCTTATTTTAGCTTCGTTTTTGCTTCTAACATTTATGTATCGACCAAGTTTCTAGATCTCCTCTGAGTTCATATAAATGCCTCTAGTGGGTAGAGTTTGAGACCATAAATTCTTTGTGTTTTTCCCCCCATTGGGCCATAATTTCTGAATGGTAAAGAAATAAGAATGTAGAGCTAAGCTCTTTCTAAAAGTTTAAACCGGAATTCTTGAGTTCGCAGCCTTCTGGCATTCAAAAGCCTCGAGGTGTTAGAAAAGTTAGGTTTGACTGCTAACAGTTGTGTGCACATTTTGCACAGTGGTAAAGGCTTACATGCCAGGGGATGGGCTGATATCCCACAGGGTCCTTTTCAGTAGGCTCATGAACCCACCTTGAGCCACATAACCAGCATGTTGAAAGTAAAACAAATATAGACAACACAGTGGGGACACTTATCTATATCAGGGCTTTAAAAAATTCATTTGAATTGTAACATAACTACATACCCTCAGCTTGTTGGAGTTACCAGACTATAGTGAGAAATTTGTTTTGCAAGAGAATAGTCAAAACCAGGGAAGATGAAGAATAAAATGCTGCATGGCAGAAAGTTAAGATCACTTGGCACAGCATTTCACAGTGGAATTGATACTGCCAAAGGAGCTAGGGACATTTAACCATGTAAATGAACATTTTAAAAGTCAGCTTTCTGAGGTTCAGTCCCCTTCTGAAAGGGTCCCTTACCCATTGTTCTAACTTCCCTAAGATCTGACCCAGATAGATGTTCTTCGCTCTCTGACCTCTGTGCTTTGATTCACGAGGTGCTCATCTTATAGTCTGAGGCAATCTCATCTGTGCCTTTTTGACATCTTGCAAGACACCACCCGAGATGGGCAGCTGACTTTCTAGGGTCAGCGTTTAGTTCTTCTCACTCACAGATGAGCCCCAATTTCTTCTGCTCTTCGAACTTCCTCAAGTTGCAAAGGAGTTGCACCAGGCAGAAAGTGTTGTATGCAATGAGAATTGTTATTTATCTGGTTTCAGAATTTCTCACTTTTTCAAAACTAAATCATTAGGCCTCATCTGATTTATTCATTTTACAGTTATTAATCTAGCATCTACTTGATAGGTGAGGCACTGATGTTTATAATATCAGCAAAAACAAACCAAGGATCCTGACCTCCAGGTTGCTGAGGTGAAGGGGATTGTTTTAAGACCATCCTCTCATTTGGTTATGTTACACCTAACAACTGAAGTGGAAGAACTAAACACACAGAAAGGTTACAAGTGCCTTGCCTCACCCTGTCTAGCCTGGGATTGAGGCGAGAATTGAATCCTTTGTCATACTCCATTGTATTTCCTTGAGTCCAGTGCAGACGTCTGGTGTTTCCTTTGTGATTCCTGCTAGTGTCTGGAAGGAAGATGCTTCTGTTTAGGATGGTGTATGTGTGTCTGCCATCATGGTACCAGTATTAAAAGGGACAACAATTTGTATATAGAAATTGCTGGTTAGTATATTTCAACAGGGAATAGTCTAGATGTGAAGATAGCCAAGCCTAAAAAGAAAGGACTTTTGAGTTAATATTGAAAGGAGGCTCTTCCTCTAATTTGTTGGATGCTATAATGATAGCAGAAAAGTTAGGATGATGATTTCATCAACCAACACTGCCTCCTCTGTGTGTTCAGCTCGTAGATTCACATACATACACCTAAAGCTTGCATTCCAGCTGTGTAGCTGCAATGGTATAGTTGGGCACGGTACTGTCTAATGTATTTATCAGACTTTTGCCTCAACCATGCATTCATTTGGGATCTCCCTTTCTTCTGCCATCTCCTTTAGAGTTGCTGGAATTGTGGCCGTAAAGCAAGTGAAACCTGCAGTGGCTGTAACACAGCCCGATACTGTGGCTCCTTTTGCCAGCACAAAGACTGGGAAAAGCACCACCACATCTGTGGACAGACCCTGCAGGCCCCGCAGCAGGGGGACACGCCGGCAGTCAGCTCCTCTGTCACACCCAGCAGCGGGGCCGGGAGCCCGATGGACACACCACCAGCAGCCACTCCGAGGTCCACCACCCCGGGGACCCCTTCCACCATAGAGACAACCCCTCGCTAGACACGGACTCAGAACTGTCGGAGGAAAGACAACACAACCAACGTGAAACCAATTCCTCGTCCTCAGATGCTCAAAGTCGTTTTTCTGTTTGTTTGTTTAGAGATGAACTATCCTATTTCAGTACTTCAGCAAGAGAGAACCTAACTGTTATCTTGAGGCGGTAGTAAAACACAGAGGGCCAGTAACGGGTCGTAATGACTTATTGTGGATAACAAAGATATCTTTTCTTTAGAGAACTGAAAAGAGAGCAGAGAATATAACATGAATACTAGATTTGACCTCCTCCCTGTTATTTTCAAGTAGCTGGGATTTTAAACTAGATGACCTCATTAACCGATGCTTTACCAAACAGCAAACCAAGAGATTGCTAATTGCTGTTGAAAGCAAAAATGCTAATATTAAAAGTCACAATGTTCTTTATATACAATAATGGAAAAAAAAAAAAAGAGGAAACCCCTCAAGGGCATGAGCATTGGATACAGCAGTAGACATTTTAACAAGAAGATGAATGGCGTCCGTGGGTTGCTA